TACCACAGATTCTTCCCCCTTCTGTTCTTGAAATCACAGTGTACTGAATAATATGCTTCTATAAGTGGCATTTGCTATATAGCATCAGACAAAGTACTACAGGAAAATTAAAAATCTTCTGCAAGTACTATTTAAGATGTTTTAAGGTATCACTGTAACAGGCTTGTACTTTCTATTCAAGCCAGCAAACTCTCCCACCCCCTGATCTTAGCACTGACTACATTTATGCTCAGCAAACCAAAGTTGATACACCCCAGTTCACTGCTAACACAGAATAATTTGCACTACTGCTGAAATGCAATTTGCATGCTAGATTAGTAGTTAGCACACCTATTTCTGTTTACCAGCTTCAAGCAAGTTTCTGCCAGCAGCTGGAGCACATCAACTTCACAGGGTCTCACCCTGCTGTGCATTCACTATTTGATGCTGGAATCATTGTAACTGAAAGTATGTTCTTTGAAGATGAACTGTAGTATTTGAAAAGTGACTTGCTAACCCGCAGCAATTCTCAAGAAACATGGGCTTTAGGTCTCTGGGGCAGTAAATGCAATATGTTCAGAATGGACTGGCCACACTGCTGTGTCCCACCCCTGGGGGTCTAGTGAATGAAAACACTTGTTAATTCTGCTCCCTACTCACAGACACTTCTCAAAATCCTGAAAGCATGCAGGATTATTAAACAATAATTTATTATATTTAGGAAGAAACAACAGAATTAGCACAACATCTATTCAATAAATTACCTTCCATTACAAAACTTGCTTAGTAAAACAATGAAGTGCATATGACATATTACATGTATCTGCACAACCCCACAATCATTCATAACAAACACTCCAGTGTTTATTACTCAGTGAAAAACATTAACCTGCCAATAAAGCAAGAAAAGATTCTAAATTTCTTCCACTGGCAGATCATAACAATTCCAACCGGTGGCTGTCTACATTCCTATCCTCTGCCTTCCTTCTTTCCCCAGATAAATATCACTGCATGCATACATGAAGAAACACAACTGATTCCCTCCATAGACCATTTTAGCTTGGTCTCAGCTTCAAGACTGACAGTACTTTATTACTTAACTTCCAAGGAGATTTGTTTCTTCTTGCAACAGATAAACACTGTTAACTTTTTCAGCTTGCCAAGTACTCTGGAGATTTGATATTAAGTATTTATTACAGACCCCGGCTTTTGCTTTCTCTACAGAGAACCTGCCAGATGGTATGGCAATAAGAATTTTAAAAGCAGCTCATGTTGAGATCACCCCCTTCTCCCTAGAAGAATAGTGGGGAAAAAAAAAATCTATAACTTCTCCATCAACACACACAGAAAGCTACTGGCTGGCCTAATTAAGAACTAGCAAAAGTTATTCAACAGAAACCAGTATTTCCCTGTGCTAACTTACAGTGTACTAGCTTTTAACTTTCACTTGAATACTGTTACCTGAGATTACACATAACAATTTATTCTCCTTTAACATCTGGAGTTCCAATGGCATTCAGCCATTTGATGGCTTACTCGTGAACTTTAAGTCTCACAAATACATTGTAAGGCTTGGTTTTCATCAGGAGGGCACTATGTATCCAAGTAGCACCATGCTTCCAGTTCCAAGTGACCTGGCATTTTCTAGCATCTGGTGAAAACCAGAACACAGCAGCCTAAGCTTCTTGCTAGCTAAGTCTATCCTCAACTACTAGCTGGGAGGGCAAGCATTAATCCAGCTGTGTGACAACACAAGCCCTTGCTGGGGCACCTCTCCATTCCAAGCAACTACCTTGCTTACCAAGTCCACAAACAGCCAGGGAAAGCTCTGAAAGCAGCACCAGCTCCAGGTTACTGCTCCACTGGTAGCACCACACACAGAGGCAGAGAAGGAGAGGACAAGTGTTTCACTGCCTTCCCTTCATTAATTCAGAAACATTCCTAAAGGACATACTGATCCTTAAGGTCCCTTCCAACCCAAACCAGCCTATGATTCCATGACATTTAATTACAAAGCCTGTTGGAACTTATTTGCATGTGTGCTATTCTTGGTCTAAAATTAGAAAGCAGTTCTAGGAAAGTACCTTTTGATTGGTACATACATCAGTTCAACAGATATCTCTCTATCATTACATGAGCAAAACGTACATCACATATTTCTTCCTGTTCAAGTTTCTCAGACTGATGGAAGCTTATCTGAGGTTGTGCTTACAGGCTTAGCTATTATCCCCAAAACCTGTAACACTACAGTCTTGGTGCCAAGCCTGCTGCAGGAGTCTGAATTTACCACAAGCTTTGCACAAAAATAATTCCATACCTTTCTGAAGTGTGTCTATAGTCTGATATGCATGCCTTGCTCAATAAACACCAAATGAGACACCATGTGCTTAGCCAGTAACGACAGAAATGCAACATCAGACAAAGGATACCACTGCAACCTACTGCGATCACCACCTGCCCACATTTCAGACAGTGCCAATTTTGCAATGTTCTACCTCTGGGTAGACCAAGGTCTTCTCTGGCCTAGATCCTAACATCAGTCACACTCTGCATTATTTCTTTCATCATAAGAAGCCAAGGTCTGAGGAAAACCATCCTTGTCACTTAAAGACCTCCCACTATCACCATTCACTGTTCTGCAAAATCAGTACTAAGTCTTTAAAAAAAAACCAAAACACCACAAGAGAAGATAAGAAAGAAACCTAGAATACTGTATTATTTTTTCTGATATCCGCATCTGATAATCCGGATGTAAAAAAAAAAAAAAAAAAAATCTTTAAGTCTTCAAAACGGTATCTTAAAGTTCCATAGTTGCTTAAAGAAAAACACCTCACAAAAATAGTATTTTTCCTGAAGAATTTTGTTCTTCATACCACACACAAGTATTCAAACTCAGCATGCTTACTTCACTAGCTCAAACAGGACAGTCAGCATTTTCTTATGAACTCAGAATGTTTTTCTTGTCTAACACAACTTATCGTCAAACTAAGACAAAAGCGGCTAAGCACAGTTATATTAATTTTCAAGCGTAGAAACACAACCCCTGCAGACCCACGTACAACCGTATCACAGCTGGCAGACGCAGCACGCCAGCACTGCCACTCCATTCACTAATAGCGCTCCTACGAGCGCCAGCCAGATTCACACCACCGGGTGCATCCTGCACACACGTGAGGTGTCTGCTGATGGTGCCTTTGTTGTGAATTTCGGGGGCAGAAGACAAAAACATAATTTCTACTCGATCAAGTAATTCGGACCTGAAGAGGAACGATCGCTGCCGGACCGAAAGCACTGACACAAAGCCAGAATGCCTACAAACACACCCAGCTCCACAACCCAGCCCAGGAATGGAGCACGTGTCAGCTTTACCGCCGAAATTACGTACACGTGATTACCGCAAATAAAACCATACTTACATTTCGATTAAATTTCGTGAAGGAGTGATGCATATAGAACCTGTGCATGTAAACAATCGCGGTGTTTATCGTCAGCTGAGATCTGGAGCACCGAATGAAGGAAGCAGAAACGATAACAAACGGAGATGCTGTTTTCTACACGCCACCTCCAGCCGGGCGCGACAGCCGGCCCGGAGCCCCGCCAGACGGGCGGGCAGAAGCGCGGAGCGCCGCAGCACGGGCACAGCGGCGAGGGGAGAGCGGTGCGAACCGCCGGCTCAACTCGGGCACCTCGCTACCGGATCCCAGGCTTCGCTCCGCTTTGTTCGAAGCCAGAAGCGACGCTCAGAGCCCCGCGAGGCCGCGCCGACAAAGCTCGGCCCCTCCTCCCGCCATGTCCCCGGGCCCGACCCCCGTCAGCGGGCAGCTCCCGCGGCTCCCGCACACGTGCGAGGAGACCCTGCCGGCGGACAGCGGCGGACAGCGGCGGCTCGCGGCCCCGGGCGCCCCGACCCGGCCCTTCCCTCCCCGCCCGGCCCCCGCCGCTCGGATACACGTTGAGGCGCTGGCCCATGTCTTGAATGAGGTTGGCCGCCTGCTGCCGGTACGAGAGCTCCTTGTCGGCCTCCACGCCGCAGCGCCGTGATGGCGTGTTCTCCAGCTGCTCCCGGCTGAAGAACCAGCGCGAGGCCGCCGAGGAGCCGCCGCCGCCGCCCCGCGCCGAGGTGCCCGCGCCTGAGCCCGCCGCCGCCATGACACTTCCTTCCCCTCCTCCTCCTGCGGCCCCGCCCGCCGGCGGCAGTGCCGCGCCCGCTTCCTCCCCTCCGCCCTCCATGGCGGCTCTCGCGAGATAGGACGGCCTATCTACTCTCGACCATAGAGTTCGGCAGCGCCGCGGCGAGAGCGTCGCCACGTTCGTGCGCGTTTGAGTGGTGGAGCGTCACGTGGCCTGCGGGAAGTCATAGCGACACGAGTAGGCTGACCCCCCCCCAAGTGCGGCAGCTGCAACAGCTACGCAATCTCCGCAACCGGCCCCTGCTAAAGAGCTGGTCTCTCTCTAGACTACGGAAATGACGTAGGCCCACCCCTCTTCTCTGCTCGCTGCCCGGCGCTGATTGGCTCGGCCCTCCCCTCGCTCTCTCCGCCTGCTCACGGTCGGCTCGCGCCGTGTGAGCGCGGGAACGTGAAAGGGCGCGCGGGAGGGAGGGGAGAGCGGCCGGACAGCCCGGGTCGGCAGCCCGCAGAGTTACGTGTGCTGCGGCCGGCGGGTGTACCGAACGGACGTTGAGCAGTTTGCACCGAGATAGTCTCAGTAGCGCTTGGGATCGCGGAGTCAGTCAGTATCCGGGGAACAGACAGGTACTGCTCAGCGCTGGGGGCTCCGGGAGAACGCGAACGGTGAATTGCGCTGGTTTAAGTGTGTGGAGAAATCTTATTTTCCTCTTAGGACCATTTAAGTGTCTATGAAAGTCAGTGCGCTACAGGAATGAGAGAGTTGCCATTCCCATCCTCTGGCACTGAATTAAGGCTTAATCTCCTAACGCAGATAAGGAGCTCAGAGCAGTGAAGAGCTCCGTCCTCAGACGCACGGGAACAGCGCGGCCGTGCGCGGGAAATAACGGCGCGTAACGGCTGATCGGCTTTATTCCCACAGCACCGCCGCGCGGGAGAGTCGAGCATCCCTGAGAACTCAGTGCCATTTCTGAAGCTTGGCCTCTGCGGGATCTTCGGCTTTATTCAAATTGCTTTCTGCTAAGACCCAAAAATTCCAGAGCGTTGTCGGCCTTGAGCTTATCCTGTGAAAACAAAACACTGTGTATGTTTGTGTGCGCTCCCTCGGACGGGCGGGCAGATGTCTGCGTCCCAAGGCTTTTAGCCGTGCTCTACAGCGCCCTCGTGAGCTGTGGTAGAAGAGCAGAGTGCCTCTTTCAGCCCTTGCACAAATCGTGCTTTTTTTTTTTTTTTTTTTTCTTTCTTCAGGTCTAAAATCAGAGACTTCAAAATGAAAAAAACAAAAAACCCACCCACAAACCAAAGCACATCCAAAATCAAAGCAAAAAACCCCGCACCCAAACGGAAAGATGATACCTTCAGTTTATTGTCAAAATCGTCCATTGAATCAATCAGTTTTCCAGGTTCGAGTTCCCCCAGTGGAAAAGGGTAATCTGTCCCTAAAATAACTCTGTCCTGGTAATAAAGAAACACATGGTATGTTTTGTAGTAGCAGGAAACAACACAGTTGTAGGTGCTTTCTGGAATGTATAATAAATCACAGGGAAATACAGATAACACGTAAGGAGCTGGTGACTGATGAAAGTGAATGCAAAGGTAGTCCCTGGATTCCAGAAACAAACCCAGAGCTACAAAACAAAGACTCGAGTTTGTTGGTGAATTTAAATTTGAAATAAACTATCGTTTCATAGTCCAAAAGGACCATGAAAGCTTCTGGCAGATTTCTGCGAGTGTCCCAGGAAAGCTCTTTACCAAACACTAAAAAGATGCTTGGATTTGGATTCTTGAATCTGAAATTCTGAAGGACACACGTAGCTGAACGCATGTGCTCACGCAAACATACATTTATATTTGAGAAGGACGTGTAATAAAAAATACCATCAATCAAAATGATCTTTTCCATAATACTTCCAAAGGTGTAATAATTGCAATGTGATGTTCCTTAAATTGTAGTAAAATGCAGAATTACTACAAACATATAAATTTTAAAAGCATAGATTTAACTGGCATTCAGCTCCAGCTAGTGAAACCAAAATCTCATTTACAGATTTCATATACATTTTTCAGAAGTCTCTGTTTTTCTAAGTGTCGTGGCCTTTGGCTACAACTGGATATGATATTAACTGTGAGTATGAAACATATGTATGGGAATATGAGTGACATGATTTCATTTATTTCTGAAAGAAGCAGTCGGAGAAAAGAAAATTGATAAAAATCTGCATGCATCGTTGCTGGTATCAGAGATGAAAATAAATAGAGCCCCAGTGGATCCACTTTGTGATAGGTTCAGCTCCACTTTGCATTGATTTTTCCTCATATCATCTGCTCTAGGGAGTGAATATTGCCAACTCACTTCATCTTATCAGAACTCTATTTGCTTTTAAGCTTCATCTCCTGCCAACGTATTTGAAAGCCACGTTTTTCATTAAAAATATCTGTTTTGAAATGTCTCATGAATTTGAAGTCAAACTCATGAATTCTGAGGGGCTCACGGCAGTATTTGAACTCAGTTACTATTACTGAAAGAAGACTTATTTCAGTTATTGTAGTAACTAATTTTGACAATTGCTGGCTATTTACTTGATCTCCAGTAGATGTCACCTGAAAACCCCCACAAAACCTAGGCGATGCTCAATGTAGACACGAATTCTATTGTTCTGTTCTATGTGGTTGTATTATACTTTATTACAAAAGTGTCACCATCAGATTAGAATGGGGGGTTTATGGCCCTCTGTCTTCTGCATCAGATTGAGTGCAGATTACATGAAATGTATTTGGATGCGTGTACAGTTGAACAGCTAAATACCTTTTATTTACAATGTTCAGTTGGACACCGGGGTATTTCCTGAACATTTGAAATACCAGCGTATGCCATCGTTCAAAACCAAACCAAATCAATAAGCATTACAGCTTTATAATAGACAATGGATTTCTTAGTAAAGGAGAAGAAAAGCCAATACCTTCCCAGATGCTTAATAGTTAAGATTAAGTAGGCTGGAAAGGCTTGTAAATTCTTGTCTAAGGTTCAAAGACAGAGATCCCACCCCCTCATTGGTACAATCCACATATGTTATTTTAGTCATTTTTTCCTTTTTCCTCTAGTTTAAAGTGTTTCACGGCTAATAATGCGGTCTATTCGTAGGCAGCAAAATTAAGAGCTGTCAAATAATGAGAAAACCTAGAAGCAGCATTATTGCTGCTATTTATTAGGCCCTTTATAATCTGAGCATCAGTTTGTACCCACCTATAGAAATGAGAATTGCAATCCTTGTCTTTATCCAGCTGGCCTTAGAGAAGTCCTCTAAGTCTCTGCAGATGAGCAATACTCCTAGTGTGTTAGCTATGCTAATAATAGATAGTAGTTATCTATTATCATGTTATGCCAAAGGATATCAGTAAAGTTCATTTTCCATAGAAGACCTTAAGGCCCAGTACCTCAATAAAGCATCTCATTTTTAGGAAGGTGAACATGGCTGATGATTAACCTCAACGAGCCCTTACACCCAACAGCTTTTTCACAGTAGTACAGAATCTTAAAATGAATCTCGGAGATTCTTTGGGTCCTTCCCCTTAGTGAAAAACTGTATTTGCTTCTCTCCTGCTGTCAGGATACATCTGCAGAAAAGACCAGATTGGTAGAGCCAGTTCAGCTCCAACTTCTGGACTGAAATTGTTTTTTACCTTCTGGTGATGGCTCTTAAGGAATCACCATGGGGAAATTTCTGCAGAGAGAAGCTGAATCATTTAATTGTCTGTCAACTCGGTTCTTTACTTTTTATACCCAGTACCACTGGGGAATTTTTGTTCAGCTATATTCGTGCTGCTTCATCATGGGAAGTAATTCTGCAGTCTTACAAAATGACTTCTCAGAAATGTTTATTTTGGCTTCCTTAATGGGCAAGTGTCAAATTAGCCTGTACCCCAAAATAAGAATGGGTGAGATTAAGCACACACGACTCTGAGCTGTAGCTGGGTTTTAATATTCATAACCTGAAGGCCCACATGACGTTCTGATGCCAGGTAATGGCTGTTCCCTAAGGACCTGAAGGCACTGTGTGCAGATCTGTGCACACACCGCTGCCCTGCCTGCACAGCTCTTAGGTGTGCTCCAGAGAGCTGTCCTATTTCAGACCTTCAGCTCATGAAGTCACAGTATGTGTGAGACCCGATCATATTGTTTTTAGCCCAGAATTTATCTATCTTACACTTGTTATTCTGCTAATATTTCATGTGTTAGTGACTCTTGAAATGGTGTTATGTGAGAATATCAAGTTTAATGGGAAAAAGAGGGATTTAGAAATTTTCATAGTAATAAAGTGAGGCTTGAAAATGTGATGTGGGTGTTTCTTCAGGAATAAGATGCTGTGGGCTATGAAAAGGAGAAAGAAAATGTGCTGCTTTCCAAGTTCTCCTAATTGTTAAAAGCATTCAGATTTTGGGGATCTGATTCATGGCTTTTCAGCCTGGTTGCAACAAGAAGTGAAATCTGCTGTTTGCATACAAATAACTCTCGTTCTGTTTCACTGTAAGGAAAAAGGAAATTTCATTCTAATTAAACTACTCAGTTACTTGGAATGAAATCTTGCTTCATAAGTAGTTTCATCGTAATGATGATATTTTCCATAAATACATTACTATCTCTAACAAGTGCATCTTCTTGGCAGCCTATTTTTTTTTTATTATTCTGGATATGAAATCTTTTGAGCAGGAGAAGTTTAAAATAAAGTAAAACAGGCATGGCTAATTATATTATCAGCACATGCACATGGCCAACTGAAATATAGTCATGTCAAAAATTGTATGACTTGCAGTCGTACGTACCAACCAAGTCTTCTTCCCTCCAAAGACAAGATGGTTGCATGTGTTGTGTTCAGATATTTGTATGCTGTGTGTGCTCGTTCATGTGAAAAATTGACATAAAATACATGGTTCTGTGAAGGAGACACTGCACATGAAGACACTGAGAAGGCAGAGATTTAATCTTTGTTTAGATTATCAATTGGTCACCCAAGCACACAGGCAAAGAAAGCTGCATGTCATGAAACTGCAGTCATTTCATTGAACAAAACAAGACTGCTTCCTAAATCAGAAACAGATACTGGGGGCGTGCGCTGCACAGCACGTCCTCTCAGTATGAGAACATGAAGCTTTCTTGGCCCATTAATTCATCACGTTCACCCAATTAGTGGGCTACAGATGTTGCTACAACTGTCTGGTGGGGAATACAAAATAAGAGATCCCGTACATCTTTCCACTCCTGTTCAGCTTGATCATACCCACTTCACCTTTGCTATACTGTCATAGAATCATAAAATCAGAGTGGCTTGGATGGGAAATGACCTTAAAGATCATGTAGTTCCAACCCCCGTGCTGTGTGCAGGGTTACCTCCTACCAGATCAGGCTGCTCAGGGCCCCACCCAGCCTGGCCTGGATGCCCCAGGGATGGGGCACCCACAACTCTCTGTGCAGCTATGCCTGGGCCACACAACTCTCTAAGTAAAGAATTTCCTCTTAATATCAAATCTAAATCTCCCCTCTTTCAGTGTAAGACCATTCCCCTGTCCTATCACTATCAGAATGTGTCTGGGTAGAACTTGGCAAATGCCACCTGAGTTAATAGCCACTGATGTTACAAGAACTTTCCAGTACAGACAGCTTATTAGCAGATCTTTTGACAAGTACACTGAGGGGGCTTTGTTTCACTTGCTTCTAAAGTAACTAAGGCTGTGATATAGTTTCTTCAGACGTTTTGTGGGGCTCCTCCTCCAAATCCATTTTTGATCCATGATGGATTTAAGAAATAGATGTTCTCCCTCTTTTCCTTATAGCTGTAGTGTTACTGCATGTGTATATACATATAGTGTGTACATACACTTTGCAAAACTTCCCACACTATTGTTTCAGGCTGTAGATGTGCTGTCAGTGTTAAATTTTTCATGAATTTTCAAATGTAGTTTTCCTAAAAAGCAAAAGTACTGCAGGGAAGCTGCAGGCAGAATTCCAATTTAAAAACCACAGTGAACAGACTGAAAACCTATTGATTCCAAATGGAAGAGATTTGGGCTCAGAGTTCTAAAGTACAGAAAAGCAATTGTTTATTCTGCTTTATTATGTTTTGGCCTAGGCAAGTCATTGTCGTATGACTTCTAGTACAGAATTATTTCAGCAGCCTGCTCACAGTGTTAGAGATGAATATGGAAAATCAACAGTGACTTTTCTTTAGAAGAAAGAAAACACCTGGCTTAGTTGTTTTTTGAACTTTGGTCCTACAAGGGCCACTGATGACAGCAGTCTCATACCCAAGAAAATACTACGTGAGCCTACAAAGTGATGTGCAGGAAAGAGGAATGCAGTTGTTGACAAGATAGCTAATGTCAAGAGTTTGTATTTCTGTTTTTGTTGTCTGGTGAGCTCTGGAGAATAAGACGCAACTATAAGCTTCTTGCTGATTTGTAGGTATCCATTATACTGTCTTCCACATTTTCTGGAACATTTAGTAATAAGAAGGAATCCTTTCAGTTACTAATAAAAAGAAGTTATTTGAATGGTCTTGTATTTTTATGATCCGCACAGTACATGATTTAAACAGGCTGCTGAAGTATAAAGATTTCTTCACTTTCTACTCTGACGATTAAAATATTGTATGCAGGATCCCTACAGAGATGTGCTTTAATACTATCTTTTAATGCCTACAACATTCCAAGCTGAAGTACCAATTGATTTCTCCATATATGCTTTTGAAGAAGTGTGCAATCAAGCCTTTTGAAAGTGAGGCTCCAAATGATTGTTTTTGCTTTGAGTCTCGCCCTAAAATCACAGGATATCCCATAAGGATCACTGAGTCCAGCGCCTGGCTCCACAGAGGACCACCCAAAATCCAGGCGGTATCAGGGAGCAGTGTGTAAATACTCCTTGAACTCTGGCAGCTCAGTGCCACGACCACTGCCCTGCACAGCCTGTGCCAGGGCCCAGCCACCCTCTGGGGAAGAACCTCTTTCTCACACCCAGCCTGACCTTCTGCTGCCACAGCTCCGTGCCGTTCCCTTGGATCCTAAATCCTGATCAACCTCACATTAATCTCTCTGAACTAGGGTTCACAGTGGATCATTTCCTGGATTAAAACCACCACTTACAGATCTCCTTATTATAGTAAGGAACATTACCTACACTGCATAAGCACTTCAGTTTACGGGAGCTTCAGTTTTGATTTTTCTGGGTGAATATGCTATCTTCATCCTGCTTTCTTACTCTTCTCTTCTGCTATTTTATAGAGGGAATTAAATCCAGAATGACTCACCTGCTTCTGGAAGCATGAAAACTCACCTCTCCTATTGCACTTGTTAGGAGCCTTAGTGCACCACGATCGTGGACTAGAGAGTCTGTGTAAAATGAACCGAGGTATTTTCTTGGATCCACCTTATTATCCATGGCACACAGATCGGGGCGCATGTTGAATCCATGGGAGATTCGCCCCACTGTGTATGGAAAAGTACCTCCTGCAAGGAGAAATTTTTAGCAACAGAAACTGAAAATATGTAGGAGGAAAAACAGAGAGATACCTAAGTTTTATTACTAACTAACTAGAGAAGAAGGGCTCTGCACCAACATTTTTTTATTCATTCCCTTTCATTCCCTTCTTTCTCTGTTTTCTCACTTCTTTGCTACAGTGACACCCAGATTCTTACTGCTCCCTTCCCATAAACTGCCTCCCGTCCCCCTTCTCACTTTCCTTAAAGGCTGTCGTAGCAGTTCAAGCACAGGCTGAAATATGATGGAAAATGTTTGTATGAGTAACCTATCTGGCAGATATCCTCACTGTGCTAATAGTTCTCAGTGAGGGGCAGGCTTAAAGTAGTAATGCCGTTATCTGGCATACCAGAAAATACAGTTATACTCTGCTGAGCCAAAGAACAGGTGTATTGCTTACCTCCATGTGCAAAGCAAACTTTCAGCTTCGGAAATCTTTCAAAAATTCCTCCCATAATCATGGAGCAAATGGCCATGGTTGTTTCTGCTGGCATACCTAAGAATAAAAAAAACTTCATCAAGCCAACCCTTGAGTTTTAAATGTTATCTTCATTTTCTTCAATACGCCTTGGGCCTACTGAAAAAACAACAGTTACAGAGCAGCTGCCAAAGGTTATGCATTATTTCTGTTAAAGGAACACAGCCTTCAACACTAATTAATTGAAATGACACAGAAATAGAAGCTGAAATCAGCTGAATTCTAAGCCCACATTCTGTCTTATACCAAGAGGTCAGCTGGCTGGCGTGGGCTATGGCCTGAACTGCACAGAACTGACTTGGCTTCCCAATTTTACTAGGAATAGGTCAAGTTTTCTTTTTACCTGTGCTTCTGAGTTTCCTTTATGTGGAAAGTGGGGCAGCTGTGTTGGTGCATATTCCAACACAGGTTTTAATATGGTGTCGTGTCAGTTCCCACAGTATTCCCACAGTACCTAATCTCTATCTCTTGCGTTGGGTAGCTTGGATACCCAGAGTTAGGTACCTAGCAACGATCTAGGTTTCAACATCAAGTCTCAGTTTCTGAGCATACTTGATATATTTATAGTATCACCTTATTTTGGTGCATAACTGTAGACATCCATCTTGGAAATTAGGAACTGTTGGAGTTCCCCTCTTTTAGGGGGAAACAATACCTATCCAGCACAAAAGGGCGTCTTTATTTCAAGTCTGTACTGTACTCTCAGATGCAAAGCCTTATGGATTTATGAGGAAAATCTTTCAGATTATTAATGCTGGTAGGAAGATGAAACAATTTTAATCTCTTTTTAAGTCTGTTTTGTAGAGCCTTCTCTGAATAAGAGCAACTGATAGTGTACTAAAATAATGCACTCTTGGATGGGACAGTTCTTTTTAGAACATGCATCAATTGCATATTGTATATATATTGTTCAGAACATCTCCACTGGAAATCATGAAAAAGAGCAAGTGAGGGTGGAATCAATCTAAAAAATTTCTAAGTAGCAGTTTAACATATTTCCTGTTATTCGGTGTCATCCTCGTTTACCCAGCTGGTGAGGAATAAAAGAGAAACCAAATTAATTCCCTATATCTCTGGGGAGCTTCCAAAGTACAAGTTGCATCAACTTTTGTTGGTGTGAAGTTAGATTCAGTGTTTCCTCACCAGTCAACCCATTACTAGGAAATAGTCCAAAGGATTTCTAGGAAATAGAGTTTGTTTTTGCTCACTCTACCTGTTCTTCATTTACTTGTGTTATTTTTTGAGACTGCATTTCAGAGACAGCTGAGCTGATTTTCCCCCAGTCATTTGCTCTCTGTATTTAGGACAAGAGACAATGCTATATGCCATCACTACTGTCATTAATTTCAGCTCTAGATATAAAGTTAGGCAAACTGTACACGCTTAATGAGAAATGCCTGCTGGATTTCCACAGCAGATATAATTGCAGTGTTTCATTTTAAAGAAAAAGCGTGTCATTTTTCTCTGTACTAGTACAATCACAGCAATCTTGTGGGCATTCAGTGACAGTTTGTAAATATAGAATAAACAAAATAAGTACACACCCACCTATCAGCCAAGGAAACCAGTATTTGGACATCCTTCCGTCCTGCTGCATGTCCCAGGGGTGTACAAAAAGGCAGCAATTTAGTTGTTCAGCAGCCTGCAGCAAAAATAAAAGATCTGAGTCTTTTCTTAATCTTGCCAGAATACATCGTGGTTTTTAGTCATGTTTTAAAGGTTTCCTGCAAAATCATGCCGAGCATTAGGACTAGCACTGCAAATAGGCCCAGAAGTAAGAACTACAAGCATTAATTTGTTTTATTTTCTCCTCTGGTACCTATTCTGAAGTCCTCACTCAGATTCAGAGTTCCTTTTGAGAGTACAGGATTGGAGACATGGATGATAATATCTGTAGAAAGCCAAGTGTTCCTCACACTAATGTGGTACAAAAGTTCTTTTTAATGTCAGTCGTTCTGCAGTATAAAACTTGGTTCAAGCAGGATTCTTTTGGCTTTATTTCACACACGAAGGTCAATTCTAAAAATGTTTTATAAAACCATATTTGGTGGTTTTGTACAGTTGTTCCAGCTGCATTCAGGAATGATAGGGGTTGGATGGGGCCTTTGGAGATCACCCAACCCCCCTGCTAAAGCACGTTCCTCAGAGTAGGTCCAGGTCTTGAATATCACCAGAGAAGGAGACTCCACAACCTCTCAGTGCAGCCTGTTCCAGGGGTCCGTCACCCTCAAAGTAAAGAAGTTTTCCCTCATGTTCATTGTTGTTGCACTACATTTGTCCTCTTTGGCCCCCTGATTGGCTTAAAAAAGTCTTACAATCCTCCTAATCCACCCCATGTTAGACATGTAGCTGCATTCGATCAAGAAACCATGTCCTCACAAATACAGTCATTCCTCCAAAACTACTGATAGCTTTGGAAAGAAAAACAGAGGAACAATGTAGGTTTCTGATCCTGACTGAATTATTTAAATATGTGCTTAAATTTAAGTATGTAATAATCAGTCATTCATATGCTCAACCAAGATTTGTTTTGTCAGTTTTATTTCCGGACCTCCTCTTGTTGCTAAGGAGATTATCACACTTTGGAAAAAATCAGGTTTATTTACCCACACTTATATAAATAAAGATGCAACTTTGGGGTTCTAAGGAGTAATGGTTACATACATTTGTAAATTGAAAATAGTAACTCAGTAAGTGGCTTAGCAGACTGATCAATTTAATTAACTAGTGATTAGTCAGACGTAAGTACACGGTGTGAAAATGGGATTGTGCTGATTGCACTTGGGTAAATCAGAAACTTGGGATCAAACAGTCAGAGAATTCTCAGACTCTAATATTATCTCACTGGTTTGAGCAGGCTGGATTGGTGAATTCATGAATTAAATACATTGGAGCTGCACTCTTCTTAAAGTTGTGCAGTTTTGAATTAGTGTTCTTAGTCATTTGATGCCCAAGACATGAAATAAAATTGGTGAAAGTCTTTTGCAAATGTTCCTTCATTTACGCTGAGCAGATTAGAAGGGTCCACTGTTTTAATGTATCTATACATTCAGCTGATGATTGAATACGTATCAATGTACCTCCAGATAGAACACCATGTCCCAGAATTCCCCCAAATAAGGGAAGAAACATTTACTCACAGCATAAATATCGTAGAGTTCTGGTGCATTCAGGTCCCACTCATTGACATGAGATCCTATTTGTACTCCTGGAAATCCAAGTTCCTTCACACACCGATGCATTTCCCTCACAGCCAGGTCTGGAGCTTGCAGAGGTAACGTACCCAAGCCTATGAACCTCTTGGGGTACTTTCTTACTGTATCAGCTAAGTCATTATTCAACATCTGGGATAGATCTAAAGTATCCTGAGGTTTCGCCTGATAAGATATTAAGCAGAATAGTACATTAAAATATAGTTCTCAAATGTTATCACCTGTGGAAGATATTGGGTAAATGTCACTGCAAACAGATCAGAGACAGGGCTTGAAACTGAAATTTACTTTACAGTTCTGAATGAACGGAAATCAAATTTTGCTTTGTTTTAAATCCTCTGACTATAGGTCTTGGCTTGAATATTACATCAACTGTGTCTGCCTTTAGCACTCAGGAGGAGCGTAAGGCAGCCCATGTTGCTGATGCACTGAAGTATCTGGTCTGTTGTGTAAAACAGTCCTCTGTTTTTGTTCTTCCAAATGCAAAAACATGAGCAAATCATTTTCAAACACAGCAATTAATATTTACCATCCTATCATAGGAGCTGAAGAGAAAAATACAAAAGACGTGCATGGTAATTTAAGAGAACACAGAGCAAAGCTCTCTAATATTTAGAAAAAGATAACAGTTACAATTCTAGCTGGAAACACAATTCATTTCCAGTTTTTTGGGTTTTTTTGCAGTACACACTTAATGGAGACAAGTTCCATAAATACCAGTGTAAGATTTTGAAGAATTTAAGACTCAGTAGTACTACTTACATATACCTAAACATTCAATCTGTATAATGTATTTAGAGCACCATATTGCTATGGTTTATCTTACCAGACCGTTCCTACTTCTTTGATGCTGTGAAGGGAACACATTAACTTAATTTTGCCACTGGATTTTAAGATTCAAAGGTCTCTGCGTTCCCCTCCCATGGCACATTTAAAAGAAAGTGAGACAAAATCTTTGAACTTTTAATGCAGCCTGGTGCCACTTTCATGGGTCAGTCCATCAGTCCATCTTCCTGCTTACCAGAGGCTTGTGCTCTGTGAATTCTTTCCCCATGCTTCCAGCTACTCCACATAAGATCCCCCACAGAAATTCTGTCAGTATCTCGTTCTTTCCTACTGGACGTACTGCAGAGTGGAGCCCTGCTGGCTCTTCTGATATCTGGACTATTTTTACTTCTGTTTTTCTCAGCAGAACAATTCCTCATTTACATCTGTGCTCCAGCAACCATTTCAATCACATCATTTACAGGAAGATACATTCAGTTTTTAATAAAAATTTGTGACATGGATAACAAAAAGTACTAATAGGAACCTACCCAGTAACTGAACATCACAGGGACAGTGGAAAGGACTTGGACTGTAACTCCTGACAAAGAAAAAACAGTTATTAATGTTTCATTCTTTTGATAAAATGTTAAAAATAAGAAAGCACTTTGGTTTGAAAGGTGGAAGCATAGAAAAGAAAGAATGAAATAACTTTAGTATGGATACAATCTGTTTTTTTGCTAATTGAGAATCATAGTAATAAATCTTGTGGTGTATCAGCTTATTAGGACTGGAGTATTTTTGCTAAGGAGAAAGAAAGAGAGAACTGCCATACTAACAGTAGGTTATTCTGTGAAACCATGTTTCTTCAAACACAAATCTGTACCATTGGGTGTGGAAGTGTGAAGAATGAACCCACTAAACCTAGTAAACTGACAACGGAGTAAATAGCATACACTGATTAGGACTTGCAGTACCTAAAGGGGAGTTACAAGAGAGAAGGGGACAGACTTTTTAGCAGGGTCTGTAGTGAAAGGGCAAGGGAAGGTGTTTTCAAACTTAAAGAGATCTAGGTTAGATCCAAGGAAAAACTTCTGCATGAGGGTGGTGAGACACTGGAACAGGTTGCCCAGAGGTGTAGTGGAAGTCCTCGCTGTGGGGACACTGAAGGCAAGGCTGGACCAGGCTCTGAGCACCTGATCTTGCTGTGGATGTCCCTGTTCATGGCAGGGGAATTGGGTTAGATGACCTTTAAAGGTCTCTTCCAACTCCAAGGATTCTATGATTCTGTGACTTAACTAAACAGTTACATGCAAAACCATATTTTTCAATAATTTTAAGCCCGATTGTAGCACCATCTCATATTGTAACATTTATGCACATCTTTCATTGTGCTTTTAAAAAATTAACTTAGCTATGAGCAATAAAAATACTAATTCAAAAGATGGCAATGAGTGGTACTGGATTTGTTCAGCACAGAGACTCCCTGTGTCTTTGCTAAAAAATGATGATGTACTCAGAAGTTTATTTTTTGAGGTATGATTCTGTATTGGTTTGTGTTACATAAATTGCCTTTGCACTACATAGCTGGAGCTACGTGAACTGAAAGGAACAAACATGAGCCCCAGTCTTTATAATTAGAATGGCAGGATTGAGAAACACTATGTACTCCTTTATTTTCCCACTTAATTAACTGGTACCTGTGTCTCTGGAGTGCTACAATAAAAGGGGATATTTTTATGGCGCATGTCACCAGATGGTGCTGTAGCACACAGTTTAAGATTATTATTATTACTTTTTTTAAGCAAGTGAGCATTGTTCAGGTGGTGAAGAAGTGTTGTGGTGCCAGTTTTATTTGGTTTTCTGATACATTTTCTTTTCTGGACAGCTGTTGCAAAAAGTTGAAGAATTGCTCTTATCTTTCTCTGTATCTACAGCAATTAGATGAGCAGAATTATTAGAAACTTGCCACTGGTGGTACAGGAAATATTTGAAAAGGAAAAATGTCAAAGGGCATTGACACTGCAGTTGAGTACTGCAGTAATCCACAAAATCCCTGAGTTAACTCAGGGAAATGATTGCAACCCAGTCAAAGCAGCACCCATTCCCACTTAAATGTCTGATGTTTGGAGTCTGAAGTTCTTCTCCAGGCTGACAATAAGGCAGTTGAAAGCTATCCGAGTTGTGCTTTCTAGACTGCCTTATGTAATGTGTTACAGAGTAAACTTCCATTAGGAGACAGACCCCAAATATCTTCTAACATGCTATCCAGCTGGAAAAGTACAATAATGATCATGGAGGCCTCAATCTGAGAACAGATAATCTCTAGTAAGCTAGCATTGGTCTTGCAAAAAGAATTTGGAATGACAGTGTCAGTAAGAACCAAGAAATCATTGATTTTTTGCTCATTCTATCTCTCTGCAAATCTTATTTAGTGACACAAAGAAACCTGCGAGAAGATGAAATTACAGTTGTGGTGTGTGGTTCAGTTTCTAAATCAGGAAAACTCTTTCCTGAAAAGGTAATGGTAGCAGTTCTCTAGGCTCACAGATATACAGAAACAGGAAAAAATATTACAAAAGGAAACAATTAGATAAAAAAAAGACCAGACTCCTGACATTTGGAATAAAAATGAAATGGCTTCCTCTTTAATGTACATCATGTCTATACCTGGAATGTCTCTTTCCAAGTCCAGATTCTGCAATCTGCAATTATGTCAGCCAGTTCCTTATTGCATTAACAATCCCACTGAAATCAGAGAGCCCATCTGGGGAATAAATTGCTACTGAATATGAGGAAAGTTATGGGAACGTGTTCAATTTGAGTCTGAATTATAAAACATATCAGTTTTCACTGATTTTTAATGGATTTAAGCTTAGGAAGCAGTTTGATAAATCTTTTAATTTTGGTATAGCTATTAAGCACTTTCAGATGCACTAACAGAGCAGCGTTCTGAAAGAGACACAAAGATTTTGGTTCCTTTGTGGAGGTACCTGATAGGTCCATCTCTTTAATCCGCACTTCTGGATCCCAGCAGTTCTCTTGAATAACTCTAAAGATCTTTCCATCCTTCATCATCTTTGCCTGTCCCTGTGAAATGACATTTTCATATGTTATAAATATGACAAAGTAGTACACACTAATTCATACAGTAACTTTAATTTAGTTGTTTCAACTAAACTTTAATGAAAGTTTATCCCTAAATCACACAAAAAAATAGTGAAGAACAAACCCACAAATCTAAACACAGTATAAAGCCTCTACCTGATCTACTGTGTATCCTCCTTGTTTGCCACCAGTTCCCTAACGTAAAAAATTCAAAGACAATCAAGGTCAGGAAATTAAGTATTGTTCCTTCCACTGTGAACATGGAAACATCCTTTTCAAACTTATTTCTTCAGTGGATTTGCCATCCGTCCAAAGATGGTTAGTGGGACAGAGATGTCACATTAAGCAAAAGAAAATATTTGCCACAGGTGTACGTGGCCACACGTCTGTATGTGTTTATAAAGACAGACAAGATGGTATTTCTGTTGGCTTAGCACTAATTGATCATTTTTAGTTGCTTGTTGCCTCTTTGGGGCTAAGTGGAAATAGGTTAAGTGAGAAGATCTGCACCACTGTGTGGATGTGGGAGAGGTAAACATGGCCATGCAGGAAGCTGGGAGAAGGAGACACTGAATTTGCAGTTGAAAATTGAAAGCCAGATAAATTGTGAGAACGCACAGCAGTTCTTTCACCTTCACAGTAAATACCAGCAAAGTGCAGGGCAGTTTCCTGCCCCTTCTGGAAAGGAAATTCTCTCTCTCCAAAAGCCATTTCACTTTTCCCAGCAAAATTCATCTGATTTAGGATCCTTAGAACACCTGTCTATTTTTCTAAGTGAAAACCTCTTAAACTAGAACATTCCTACAATTATGTTAAAACAGCAAAAACTTACAGTTTCACTATTCAGAGTGGAGCTGGGCTTCTGCCACCATCTTCTGAGAAATCGGGCTATTCTTAACCTTGCATTTGCTATTAACTTCAGACACTGCTCACATGAATATTTTAAAGCGCTCTTCAGCAAATCCAGCTGTGCTACCTCAGCAAAATGTCAAGTTACCTGTTAGCTGTATCACAGTTTGTGAAAATGACTTGAAATACTGCAGTCAGTAATAACAGCTCCATAATCCTAATCCTCTGGTAATATACTTCAAGTTCTTGTAAAATTGATTTTCCAACCTGACAGAAAGTTTTACTCTAGCCATGCAGTCCATTACGTTAAAAAATAAAGATCAGCCCGATGCTGCAGACTGCCTCATAAATGGAAAAATATTTGGGGTGCGAGTAGAGAGGACAGAGTAGAACTGAGCTGCATCACATACAAATAGGTTGTGTGGCCTTTACTGGTTTTCTGCTGGCAGTATTTCTGTGAACACAGGTGAATTTTAATTCTTTCCTCAGGCAAAGCTAAAGCACAGCAGCTGAACATATACATCTCCTTCTGCTAATATTGAAAACGGTGTTGGACAGGTTGTAATTTCACCAGGAACCTCGACAGTGCTCATACATAAACACCGAGATGAACAGCAGTTCTCTGAATGCTGCAACAGGGTTTGCAATATAGGGAGGTTTTAATAAGCCCTGTGTTGTCCTCACTAAACAGTTCACTGAACGGTTTCCTATTTTCCTTTGCATTAACTGATTCTTTGTGAACAAAAACATCCTACAGGTCAAGGCTAAACTCACAGCATTGCACGTGAGCAACAATAGGCTTGATTATGAGGGAAAGCAGAATGTGATCGTCTGAATAGATTTGTGCTCATGTCTGTCAGCACAGAAAGATCTGGCCCAGCAACAGCATGACTGGAAAATCAGTCATACAGTTATTGCCTCCAGACACTGCCACTAATCTGCACCTCACATTTTTTAAAGAAGAAATTACTCAGACACCTCAGCTGGTGAGAAGTTTTTCGCAGTAGTGAGAATGAAACATAGATCATGAAGAAATTTTTCAGGTTCCAAAGCAATGGCTGCTGGAGCTGTGCTATTCTTAACATTATCCAATATTTAAGACCTTAATTAATTTATTTGAACATCAAGAGAGAGAGATTTAAGAATCGAGTCCAGGAGGCTAATTTGGTTCAGTGAGCTACACACATTTAAAATTACTGCATCACTAAGCTATTCAGTTCCATCCCAAACTGCCCTTCTTAAAACATGCACATAGTTATTTTCTTTCATTGAAGCTTAAGGTTTACCTTTTTAAAAAAATATCTAAAAAATCTTCAGAGTTAACTTCCCTAGCTTCATGCCTGACCAGGATTTTATTTTGCCATGCACTTTTTTCATGCAACATTTTCAGACAGAAGTAGGCTAGGCAGAGTTCTCTGCAGAGAATATAAGGCTATTATTGACTTGCCACAGAGTTCCTCTGTGAGCTGTTTTTAGGAAGGAGGTTTAGCATGTAACAAACAGCTAAGCTGCTAAAACTGTCTCTGAGTCTCCCCTTCCTGCACCTACCAGAATCTCAGAAGCTGTGCCATCCACACTTTGATTCAGCAGGCGGCTTGTTCTCTCCTCCCATGCCTGCTTAGGCTGAGATCTGAAATTTCAGGCTAGTATTTGTTTGCTCCTCATTCGTGGTCCCAGCCTTCATATCTTGTGGCCCTCTTTTATCAAAGGCTGTTAGGGATTTGTTGGCATAGCCTTGCATAGTGCTGAACAACAGTGGTATTGTTAGCTTGCAAGGAGTATACACTTCCAGAATCTCTATATTGTTCCTGTTGTTCTTGATTATTGAAACTAATGTTTGTTCTCCTTGTCATCATAGCATTACAGAAGTTAATATTCCTCTCTGAAGTCGTTTCCATGGTTAAATTCTTATTTCTTCTATTAAAATACCAGTTTCCTTTGTTTTTATTTCTCATATAGATGATCACATTTATCTAAAAGAATGCTGTGATATCTACTGTACGTTGACATGTCTTAGTAAAAACAACTTGTAAGAGCTATCCATTCCAAGTGGTCAGGTGATATTACAAGAAGCAGATAGTGGTTCCTACCAGAGAATGTGACCTGACTATATACTGTTTCATGTCTTAAGCAAGTTCTACAGAGGCATATTAGGACTTTGAGTGATATTAATTCATAAACATAGACCTACAGGCAAATCTCTGTTGAAGACTCAGCCAATCATATTGCTACTTTGCTTTTTAATGGATTTCCTGGGAGCTTTTATTCCTGATTACAACACAGAAGTGGCACAGAGCACCAAACAGCCCAAACCTTGCAGTGATGATCCAGCTGTACCCATCCACCATATCCATATCTCTGTAAAAGAGGAGAAAGGCAGTGGTCAGTTAGCAGTCTGCAATAGCCATAACAGCCTCAGTTCTCACAGCCCCGCAGTCTCCTTATCCAGGAGATGTACTCAAGCACTCAGTGTGAGCAGCTCCACTGACATCAGTAGAAGTGAGAAAGCTAAACCAGGCTGTACCAGTTCTATTTGTAAATCTGAACTTTTAGCTTCCATTTTAACATTTTAAATGTTAAACAACATGTTAAAGTATTAAAACTGATTTCAGAGTGCTTAAAGTTGCATATCTCATTCAGGTCCTAATTGGAATAATATTTTAATGCTGAAAAAAAAGTTGTATCAAACATGTGGCAGTGTGAAAACTGCGTGACAATTTTTCAATCCTAACAAAATGTAATCAGTTAATCATTAGAACAGAAATGTATCGATTCCGCTTTTCAGCTTCCATGATTCAGCAGCAGTACTGAAGGTCAGTCTCTCTCTATTAATATTTAAACAGCCAAGAGAAGCTGAAAGGAGAAGCTTAGACACTCACTGATTCTTCTAGAGATTCAGTTTTTAAAACAACACAAATGAAGCTTATTTTGTTTCATTTTCATTAAAGGTTAGAAATAATGAAATAGCATAATCTGAAAACATTGCTCAGAATTCTTATTTTCATTCCTATATTTTCCCATTTCAAAGGAAACAAAGTAGAAGCAGAGATTTCTTTCACTGAAGACTAAACAATGAATAGAGCCCAGCGTGATAAAAAAAAATCGATATGAAAATCTACCATCAGCTTTCCCACAGTAGGCATGCAGACCAGGGCTCCTGATTTCAGCCAGAGGTACATTTTACTTAAATCTAATTATTTATAGCTGTATATATACTTACATATGTAAGGTATTAAAATTTACGAAAAATGGTATGACAACTAACGAGAGCTGGCTCCATGTGAGTTCCAGCTACAAGCTGTGCAGAAAATGAGCCCCTTGAGGTGCTCAGGAAACTTGTAGGCAAGAGGGAAACTCACTGCTCTGTGCTTGTACTCCTTTCCTTCTTTTTACCTTTCAGCTTTTAGCTGCGTGCATTGATAATCCTGACTGAAGATTTTCCTTAATTTTGGTTCATTTTTATACGTATTATGGCCTCCTAAATTCTTAAATAATGATCTTGATAATAGAATGTTCCAGTCATAGATTCAAGATTTAGTATTTATCAGGCTAAAAAATAGAAAGTGTGGCACTATGTGTGCATGCTAGGATTGCCTAATTGGCCTTCTACACATGAGATATATAGAGCTCTGTTAATGGCTTGAATTTTCAGACAGCTCCAGGGAATTCTGAGAGTTGTTTTCTATTCTGGGTCCATAAACAAACCTTTAAAATACCCAGACTTTAGAACTGAGGTAACAAAAACAAATAGGCAGAAATTCTAAAAATTTGGTATCAACCTCTTTAATCAGTGTTTAAATAAATGCAGCACTGGCCTACAGCTGACCTCGGGGGTAACAGCACTGATCTCATCCTTGACATGCATCCATGAGCATCAAGGGGTTCTCGAGGTGATTTCATCTCAGCGAATATATTGTCCTTCTGATTTGTGTATAGACAGAAAACATTTAAATCACATAAGACCAGAATAAAGATGTTTTTTAAATAAAGGATTTTGCGCAAAAAAGGAATAAAAATGTGAAACAAGCAAGTGTTTCTTTGCAGACTGGATGTTCAAACCCCTACCCATTTAAACCAGGCATATTTGTTCTAAAAGATACCTGCCATCTCATCTGCATTATCCAGTGTATGTGGTTTTGTCATCAAGGAGCTCTTGTAGTTATAAATAAGAAACATGAATATTTATAAAGCCCTTCCTGGAGGAAAGAAGCATTCCCTTCCAGGAGGTTTTGGCATAATAACATTACTCTTTACTCCTAATGAAGAAATAATCTCATGTGTACTCTTAATTTTAGATTATCTCAGTAGTTTTTTCTGAGCTGTGGTTTTAGTCTTCCTGCTGCTCTCTAGCTAACAGCTGATACTGGACTGTCATGTTTGAAGTTGTAGAGAGACAGAGCTCATGCCTATGAAATGCTTACCTGAGAATCTGCCTTCATCAACCTCAAAATATTAAAGTAAGAGAGATGTACAGTGTAAAACAGCGTCAATTAGTGTGTCAGATGCTAAGAGAATAGCTGAAATAATGGTATTCTTTTGTGGTCACTGACAGGCACAATGAAATGAGCTGGTTCCATACCACTGGCAGACACAGCCAATGCTCATTCAAGCTGCTGCCAACACAGAATTCCAGTAAGAGAAGAAGCAACAATGCAGCTCTCGCCTTCTCTAGTCTGATTTCATTAATAAAAACATTAAGGAGTTAAGAAAAATAGCTATCCTAGAACTGCAAACGATTTTGTAGGTATAAACAATGAATAAATAGAATTTCATCATGCAGTCTTTTCAGTACCCTTTGTAGCTTTGAAGATGTGATGCCTTACGAGTCCAAAAGCGGTCATCCATCTTCATATTCAATGTGATAATAATTATTCAGGCAACAACTCTACAACCTAACTCAGAACCAGATGAGTACATTGCCTTTGATAACCTGAAGTAAAGGAGTAGAATTGCTACATGAAAGCCTAAATGATTTCCCTTCCATTCTCAGATACTTTTCACAGGATCATAAAATTGCCACCGGCAAGAATATGTTCATGCTGTTGAATGCTAATAAGAGTGCACCATGCAAAAATCCCAAGTTAAGACAAGTTGACTTCCAGCTTCAGTGTTGTGACAACTGAGATTTGTATCTGTAATACAATATGCTGCTGCTTTCCAGCAACTGAAAATATAACAGATATTAGTAAAATAACCATAATCATCAGTTAGCCATAGTTGGAGTTACCCAAGGCTATTGAAGTGAATGGCTCTCATGCCTTGGGCACAAGATATGAATGACTTTTGTTCTAAGTAACATTAATCTTGTCTAACATTTGCTTATTTCTCCATTTAAATTAGAAGTGAACACCATTTGGGAATCTGATGGCTCTGGTTTCATCAAGAAAATGGAATTTATGCTTCATCAACATATAGTTTTAGGTCTCAAAAAAAAAAAAAAGAAAAAAAAAAAAAAACCCAACCACAACACACAAAAAAAGCTAACCAAAACCAAGCAAAGATGTGAGAATGACACCAGTCTAACTACAGAGTGGGGAACACAGCACAGTTTTCCATCTTTTCCTTATGGCGACTCTCGCTTTGCATGGTAATGTTATACATGTATCTTATATCTGAAAAAGAAGAGATCCAATTAGATAAAAAGCTACTGAAAACAAGTATTTATGACAGAATCCTTCATTCAATGATCGTTCAAAAAAATTACACTGCTACCAATGGCTGCTGCTAACATAAGACACTGATTATCTAAACTCTTATTACCTTTTTCAGGTCAGGCCATTCCTTAGGTAGAATGTGGCTATGAATATCAATTTTCATTTTGGAAGTATCAAAGGAGAAACACTGTTTCACAGTTTGCTGTGTAATTGCCACTATCCTCCTTGCCCCTGGTTCGGCAGCTTATTAACTTCAGCTGCTGCTCAGATCCACCTGCCATGGGTCACGAGAACGCAGTACAGTAACCAACCAGGGGAGCCCAGATCCCAGAGGAGTGGCTGTGCAAAAGAACAAAGGCTTCTAGCAGAAAGTCCATGGTATTGCATCAACTGCAGCTGGCTGAGGGCAAAGGGAGGAGTGTGTGTTTATATTGGCAGTATAAAGGGATTTATTTTACCTGGAGTCTAAATGCAAGCTCAGCTTTACAAGCTGAAATTCATTCAAAGACATTCAATTGGAGTAAATGTATTAAACAGGCTGATTTCAATTTTCTCCTTTCTCTCTCTTAGGTTCTTACATAATTTGTAGCAAGCACATGATATGTACTTGGTAGGCAGTCTCCTCGTCTATTCTCTTTTCCTTCCTTTGTATTTTCTTAAAAGTTACTTTAAAAAATTAACAGAAATACCAAATTATAGCCAAATCTATGCTCTTCATTTTTTTCCTTCCCTCTGATTATTGGTTTAAGCTGGATATTTATACATGCTGCTGCTCAGAGCCTTTCAAGGGCTCAATATCAGGCAGGAGAATGGCTCAGCTTACTTTAGTAATTAAGGCTATTGGAGCGCACTAGCTAATACGGCAAGTGGTTTCTGCATTCTAAGTGAAGCTTAACTGGATCTACTTCAATTTTTTCTGTGTAATTACATCTTCTGTTTCACCCTTACGCAATTTAATATTAGACTTCTTTCCTCAAGATACCATTGACTTTCTTTCATGCTGCAGTTTTTCTCTGTAATTTATTTCTGGTATAGCTGTACTTCATTGTAGGCTGCTCACATGATGTCTTCTTTGCTGAAGTTGGTTAACCATTTCTAGATTAATTTGTTTCAAATGAAAACTGCTGATTTTTCAAGACTACGTTTTGCTGCAAATCTTTCAAGCTGATATCAAGCAACTAGAAAAAAAAGTTTTCCATTTTGTTTCAACCATTTTCTGACTTTGTTATTTTGTTTGGTCTTGAAAAGAAAAGAAAAAGAAAAGAAAGGTCTGTAGTGCATTTCTGTGCTTTGCTGTGCTTTCCCTCATTCAGAAAGTCTGCTTTTGGTTCGCTCAGTTAACCTGGGCATTCTTCAAGTCAACTGTAACACAGTTGGTTGCTCACTTGATTGATTGCACGCTTCTCTGCAACTTGCTGCAGACTGAACATTATAAGAAACAGGAAGCAGATGCTTTTGGAGAGTGTATCCTACATTAAGTGGTACTGATTCATTTTCATAGGTAAATGAAATGGGATTGAAAACAGCAACTATTTTTGCACCAAAATCAAAACCAGTCTGTTTGTGACCTGGCTGACAGGTCAAGCAGTGAATATGCTCTCTTGCTCCCAGGTGTGACAGCTATGCTATACAATATAGTACTATAACATTAGTCTGTTGGCAAGCTAGATGCATGTACGTACAACTGCAGAGATAAGGAAAAAGTGTTGATTATATTATTAGGCATGTTATAGTAATATGATATTACTGAATAAAGATATCTTTGGAAGACTATTCCCCACTTAAGCATAGAAAGCAGAAGAACTAGTGAAGGAGAGGAGAAGGAAGATGTGTTTAGAATGTCCAACACATAGTTTCTTCTCTTAAGTCACAGTGGCTGAAGAGGACAGCATTTCTTCAAGAAGTACTTTATTTTTTCATCTCTAAGAAAAGCTGTAGCTGCTAGTTGCTGCTCCCAAGACACAGCTTAGTTTGCAAACAGTGCCTGCTCCCACAGCATTTCATTTAACAGCAAACTTCACTTGGAAACCACATCAAAGGCAAAAACTGTATCTGTTTCAACTGGATCTCAGGGACATTAAGACATGCCTACATCCATCATGATCCATTAGATCAGCAGCAGAAGGACCGGCACTGGCTACAAACAAGAGTGTCTTCTGTCACTCTTGCATCCTACTTTGAATGCATGGGTTTGAAAGATTGAATATTTTGACTAACATTTTAGACAGTCTGTCTTAGAACAGAAGAATGACTTATGTGTCTCAGTCTCTGTGGTATTTGTACCCTAATGCAACGTGATGCCTTTTAACTCAGCCCTTGCTATGTATCTCCATTTGGTTAGGAACTTCTGGAGTGTGATGCGGAGGTGCAGGAATTGCCAACGGGAGCCAGAGAGTCTGATAGATTTATCAGACTGCCCTAGGCAGAAGGAGAGGAGCTTAAATTCACTGTGCTTCCAGGCAGGAGGTCCTGACTGAATGGAAACTTTCACATGCAGAATGTCTGGGCCAACAGAAAGACATATTCTATCATTTGTGGGTCCATAGAACCTGTTAGCTGTCTGTCTCTGAACTATACTCACTCTTGGGCTACCCACAAAGAATTTATGTCCTAGAGCATTTGAATAAAATGACAAAATGCTGTGGCTTAACATGGATAGGCAGCAATGTCCCACACAGGTGCTCTCACTCCCTCTCCTCAGCAGGACGGAGAATGGGGAGAAAAGGAAGAAAGAGAAACAAGTGAAAAGGAGGTGCAGAAAAAGCAAGACAAGAGGCACTTGCAGGTTTGAGATAGGAGCATTTTGATGAAAGGAAAAATTTTAAAAAAGGAAAGGCTGCATTGAAGCTAAAGAAGAAATAACCTATTTTTATATTACCCATTGGTACGTGATGCTCAGCCACTTCTTAGGAAGCAGGGCCTCAATACTGGCTGTGGAAAGGCAGCCTTGATGCTGTGCCAGCACAGTAGGAGCCACATGGGTGAGATATCGACACTGCTCTGCAAGTGCAAAGCACAGCACTGTATGGACTGCTGTAGGGAAAGTTAGCTCAAGCCCAGCCAGACCCAGTGTAAAGAGTTGGAAAAAAAACCACAAAACATATCAGTCAATGAGTGTACTTGCTACATCTGCTAGAGAGGAGAACTGAAATGTGTGCAGACATCTTCCCAGCCAAAAGGGGCCTCCTACATGGATTAGGAAGGAACATATGTTACAATAACTTGTCCCACCTGCCTCAGTATCCTTATGGTGCTAGTGTCTTTTAGATCCCATGTAGTAAAACATCCATTTAGTGTCCTTTACCAACTGAAGTGCATTCTTCATTATGATAAACTTCCCTTTTAGGAAACTATTGTAGGGGACTGTTTAGGCCAGAGCTGATTTTAGATAGCCAGACATAAGTCTAGCAGAGCTCTAGGGCTTTATCTCACTATAGGGACCAGCACTAATTGAAAGCAATGTTAGATATACTGCACTCAATGCTCATTTTCTAAAACTATGTAGCTGTTCTTCTGAAAGAATTACAGAATTTGAGATTTGGAATTTTCATACTGGGAACTGAGGTCCAATTCTGCCTTTTATTTTGATCAGAATGTATTTCCCTGTGTCTGTAAAAACCATGATAGAGCACTCTTTACAAGAGGGTACATCAATAAACATGAGTAAACTGCAGACAGTGCTGCTACTCATCCAGCAGCCCATACCAAGACAGCCCCTTTGCAGGTAGGATGAACACAGGAACAAAGAGGCAAATTCAGGAGTCTGACGTCAGAAACTCCTGAAATATTTGTGCCAATTTTCCAATCCTTACAATTCTGCATGTTCTTCTCTGGCATCTGCTCTTTAAATTGCACATTTGGTTGTGAAAAATGGCTGTTTTATACATGCACAGTGCTGGAAAGCCAGTGGGAAACTCGTCGTGCCCAGCAGTGAAAATGAAGTGCTCGAAGAACACGTCCCTTTGCAAATGAAATGAGTGCTGAGCAGCCTGTGTACGTTGGTTGCTTAGCAACAGGCTGTCCTTCAGTCCTGCTGCTGCTGCCCTGCTCCTTTGGGACTGCCATCGCAGACCTGCTTGGAAATGACATGTTTGGAGAGGATGCAAGAGGCGGTGGTTCTATTTTTTGTGTGGTATTAAATCATTAAACCTTTTCTATCAAATTAGCCTGCTCTTCACAGAACTTAATGCTCTTCTGGAGCTCCAGAGAACTCAGAATTTAGTGGAAGTGGAAAGGCTTCCCTTCTGTTGGGAATAAAAACAATGGTTATCACTTCTCTCCTAATAACAGTGTCTGTGCAGCAATTTCCATACGTAGTTCTCAGAATGCTGCACAATGGATGTTATTTCTGTGAGGCAAATGCTGCAGAACTGTATAACCAAGATGTTATAATCACAATATAATTGTGTATAATCAATAGATACCAAGATGTTATAATCGCAATATAATCAAGAGAGTAAGGCAAAGCAGACAACGATAACAAAAAGAGAATAAGCGGAAGAGCTTACCCTTGGGTTGAGCTCACCAGAAGACACCAAAAGAGGGGATCTCCAGAAGAGATCCTTCCTCACTGGTAGCAGCTCTTAAATAGGTCCAGGAGGGGTGCAGCCAGGCTCCACCCCTTCCAGCAGCACAGGTGAATTGCCTTCAGCTGTGCTCCTCTGGCTGACTCATGGCTCGCCTCAGGTGATCAATCAGAGGTTCAGGCCGTGACTCAGCAGTTCCCATACAAGAACATAACAGGGCTACACCAGGAGGACATGTCCAGCCATGGTTACACCAGTAAAGCCCTTAACAAGAATGTATCCAGGGAGTAGGTGGCATTATGATCCCCTGTTCTCAAGCACCAACTACCGTGCAATCCAAACGAGGGTTTGCACAGCTGTCTGGGCTGCGATGTCAGCATTTCACTTAGGTATATCTACGGAGTGCAGGAGCAGAGGCACACAGATCTCCAGTTTAGAGATGACATCAGCTCAAGATGAAATCATAGAATAGAATCATAGAACCGCTTGAGCTGGGAGGATCCTTTTAAGGTCATCTAATCCAAATCCCCTGCAATGAACAGCGACATTGACAGCCAGGTCAGGGTGCTCAGAGCCCAGTCCAGGCTGACCTTGAATGACTCCAGGGACAGAGCATCCTGTTCCATTGCTTCACTACTCTCATTGTGAAAGGGTAGTAACAGTAGAATGAAAGGGAATTTTAAAAGGGTAGTGACAGCTCTTCCCTATCGTACAGAGGTAATGACAGCAGT